AATTTGTACAGCCTTTGCTTATTTTGTACGCATCCACCTCGACGAGGTAAGAGTAACTCCCACAGCCGTTGTCACTCATGTTCGACCCTTTTGAAAGCTTTAACCATGGGTCCCATTCCTATGATATTGGGTGGGAATCCCTATGTTTGTTTTAGGAGATTCATCTTATTAATATGACAATTATCTCTTGCATGCGTATTGTTTATTCTATTTCCGCCCAACCGAAAGTCAAGGTTCTCGACCTTGTCAGTCACACCAGTTTGTATTTTTTTTTGTAACCCTTCTAGTATCATGGCTAAAAAAACCTTGATCTACATTATTCAGTATTACTTTGCAGTAATCGCTTCCCCGTCAACATAACTAATACATCGCAAGATTTCGCGTAAAGCTGATACGATCGATATACAGTAGACGAATCCTCGGAATTCTAAACCTCTACAATAATTAACTGTAGGTGTACTGACGCAAATAACATTTCAACCCTGTCTACAAAAGCGAGTCAAATCCACCTTTCTACCGTATATGCTGCAATCAAAAGATTACATCGTGACGATGAAAAGGCTCTATTCTGCAGGTCTACACCATCGAATGAGTACCATGATGAAAAAAATCAGTTGTACAAAACGTTAATGTGCTTGTGCTCGCGCTGAATTATCAAGGTGGCTACAGATAACACTGATATTCCTCAAGAAGGTGATTTTGAAGAATCCAATAATGGACGATAAAACATTTTCACCAGGCCATTCTCCAGTCTTGACGTTTAAACTATGTGCATTAGATGTCTAAACATGTCGGAATGTTCAAATCGCCCTCAATTCCATGAAAGCTGCGATCCCGACTTTATTTCGCACCGTTTGATTATTTGTACGTACCAAGTTGTCTTGAAAGGATGAAATAGTTTCACTGCCAAATATATGGCAAGTGTCCCTGCCAATATTTTACTTACTAGGAAAAGGGCAGATACCAAAGTAGAAAGCAGTACCCGCATAAAAAACTTCAATATATTAGTCCTACCCATATGGCAGCACATTTTGCAGACAGGAAAGTTTCTGATGAACAGTGACGGAAAAATCGAATATTGCATTATTGGTCAAACACAAATCTTTAGCTAGATAATTCAGAACCTGCGCATTTATTTGTATCACTTTATTCATTATGAGATATGTAGTAGATACACAGTTCAACTGATAAACAAAGTAGTTCTACGTTTGAACTTCACCTATGTTTACATTTTTCTTACAAACCAATGATTATTGTCCCATAGGTATGACAGCCATTTTGTGAACGAAGTTGCTAGTTGTTCTTGTACGTTTATATTGAACTACTCGTAAACCATTTTTCATTGAAAACTTCAAATTCAAGATTAGTACAATTTTTTTCAGTAGAGTCAGCACGTACGATAACAAAAACAATGCACTCCAGTACAGCCGCTAAGTTCACTATATGGAAAAAATATATGGTACGAAAAGCTTGTTCCATTGACACAAATTGTTGTAATGTGAAGACACTCCAATAGTGCATTAAGCTGGAGGCATACACCTTTGGTTTAATCTACAAACTACCCGGAAAGAACCCACACTGGGTGATAGAATTTTGGGTATATGTAGTCTATTATATGGCCGACCCTGAGTTTGAGTGATTACTTTCTCACCTATTTTCTCACTGGCATATATAGCACGCCATAATTCGCGCATGAATGAAATGACAAAATGGTATTTGCCCAAATTTAAGGTATTAAACAATCGCGAATCCAGCGTGTCTGACAAGGTGCAAGCCTCCAACACTTGATCGTCTGTTGAAGTTGCGTGGGGCCAATATTTATAGCGTGTTTGCATAGAAAAATAGGGTGATTAAGTCTCAAAAAACTATATTGAAGACATTCGTGTCTAAGTCTATTGGTTCTATTTAGATTTTCCTTATATATTGCGTACTATTTACACGAGTCTCATGTTCTCGAATTGGCAAATGTATTTAAATACTTTCCTTTCATGTCAAGGAGAATCTCCGTTTTCAAATACGAATGAATTTGTTAATCATCATACGGTATATTATCGATTACACTATCTAGTCCTTTAATCAGAAGATCATATGCAGTATCTTGGTACGTTGGTTGAGGTAATTTGCCCATCAGTGTCAATCGGGAACCTAAATCGTGATTTGCATATCTTGACCATGTTTTATTCTTCACAAAAATACGCCATAGGGGGACCCTTCAGAATGTCAGAAGTATATCACCCAGCTTTGGTAAATACGAACAAATGAACAATACAGACTGTCAGGTGACGTCACTAACATATATGCATGTGAAGATTTAATGTCATAGAAAAACAAGGTTGGTTTGCCCACTTCATATACACTGAATTGATTGCTGTTACTTGCTAGTTGTCAAACATAGGAAACCGTCTTGCAGATATTACACTACAAGCTTCGAGTTCTGCCACATGCTGCTAAGTGCCTGTTTGCAGACTGTTCAACGCCAAGAATATATTAAACGAACAAATGTTTTGAGTTCTCAAAAAACAATGCTGGTTTACCCATTTCCTATACACTGAATTGATTGTCCTTATTTGAAGGTTGCTTACTAGTTGTCAAATATGGGAAACACGCAATGCAGATTTTCAATTGCACTTCGAGGTTCTACCACATACTATTTTAAAGGCCCGCTTGCAGACTGTTCAACGCCAAAAATACAAAGAACAAATACTTGGTTACAACCAAAAGATCACAGACATTGTCTCTTGTAAAGTGTGATATATGTTACAGTAGCAAGAATACACTTGCGCCTGTAATTTAGAAATAGTAAGTAAGAGCCGCCTTATACAAAGAAGCAGATCTTCTATGACTTCAGATAAAATGAAGAATTGTGATCTATTTGTCTAAAATACGAGTTTGTCATTACGGGAAGGTACTGAGACATGGTACACTTGCAATTTCACGATAGAAACTACAAAGGTAAATATTCGTTATATACAGTCGCGTAAAAATATACTTGCCGAACGGGTGACTGTGTCCAGGTTCGTGGCGGCTTGCTCAATGTCTTGCAAACGATTATCTAAAAGCCTAGCGAACGAACGCTATTGGTTTTGTTCCTGAATTTGAAGTTAGGCAAAATATAATCTTCAAACTACTGTATATACCACTTAACTACTTGGCGCACAAGTATTTGTTTGTATTTAAGGCACAACTTATAATCAAGGGGTTTACTACGACCTATGGACTAGCGCTTGTCTGTTTGTAGCTCGCATTTTGTTTTATGAAGGCCTTGGCTATTGTGTATGGATAAATTTGTTCATCTCAATTCGATATTAGCTGATCTATTCGCTATGTTTTTTGAATGGTATCTACACCACTACAGTAGTTGATACTCGGATTCACAACATTTAGATGCTTTATCGGTACCAAATTAAATTCGAACGAGGTTCGCTCAATTAGCCTGCACAGGAATCCGCACTGGAGTGAGATATTGCAAATCTTTTAGCTATCTTTTAGTTACACATATCGAACGATAAAGTACCCGAAACAGATCATATCAAAATTAGATAAGTAGGAATATACAGGTGATATGCGTTCAAGTTATTGACCATCGAGACTCGACACTAGGTGTATTGGTAAATAGGTATTCACCAGGGGAATCCTTTTACCTCTCGTGATGCTGCAATTCATTCAGCGTATCTCCCTTTTCCGAGTTCACCTCTCTTGAGTCTATTGCTTCCACTACAGTGATAGCCGATAGGTACTAATCGATCGAAGTACACTGATACATTACACTTCAAATATGCCCCAACTGACTACCTTTCGGTTATTAACAAGGTTGCTATTCAGTGAGCCACTTCCTGAGCACCTGGAAGTTCGCTTTGAGGGCAAGAGTATACATGAGATGTTTGACGAGTGCATACGCTACATTTTTGTGGACGATAAACTCATTCAATCGCAATTATACTCTTATTTTAAAAAACAATGTAGTATCACTTGGAATCAGGTCGAAAAGGACCATAAACTGTCACGAAACAGAAAAAATTCAATCGTGTATCATTTGTTAATACGCTAAATGAAAAATTTATGACTACTGAGTACAGCCTTATAACTAATACTTTTGGTATTTGAATATCACACGATGACATTTGACACCCCATCAGAGTCTTACAGCTTCGGTTCTTCTTACAAATCGTGATAACTACACAATCACAAACAAATCCTCGCACGTGCTACTTATTTGCGATTTTTTTTTGACTTTTTAGAATGGTTTCAGATTAAAAAGACTCTCCAAGCCATTCTAAACTAATTAGAAACCTCGAATTTTTTTTTGAGAAGAGGGCATGTACTATATAGAAGTACGGGCACGCTGCTATACATTTATACGTACCGTCTATAATCATTTGCAGAAGTATATAATAGCAGGGTAAATGCATTATATGGGGAATAGATACGTATATGCAATTAGCAATATACAAACGTATATTCACAAGTACGTGTTTCTGCATTTTTGTTTCATGATATTTGCATGAACATATGTAATGGATATGTACTTGTACATGTATAGGCGTATGTATATGTATCCTGGTATGTAGATGCACTGTGAAAAGAAACAATTGTACAGGTATGTGCAATTAGGGATTGATACGAAAACGTATAAATAAACACCTTTATCTCTACAAGTATATAAGCGAATTCATTTTTCTTGCTTAGAAAAAAATTTAGGAACAGTCCAATTCATACGTACGAAAGTACATTTGAATCCATGAATATGCGAGCATGAAGAAAAAATCGTCCAGATTTTGCTTGTAGATATTTGAATTTATATAAATATATATATATACATACATTATAATATATATATATATATATATATATATACAACACACGCACACACACAAACAAACAAACACAAACTAATTCACACACACACACATATATATATACATACATATAAGCACGTATACATATCAGATCTGACGAGTATACTGTACATGTTTGCATAGAATAGAAGTATAATTGTAAAGTCTAGTGTAACCGCAGGAATAGGCGGGGTTGATAGTTTATTTTCTGTACATTAACAAATGCTGACTATCATCCGCGACCATTCCTATACCATTTTTACCTGACTATTAGAGCGAGCCATGTTTGCTCTAGTTGTTGAACTTGAAGAAAATAATGTCGCCATCCGCGACAACGTAGTTCTGTGGAGTAAACCAAGAAAAAGACGGTGATGGTTTTATTATATAAATCAACGACACAGAAGCGGAAAACACGTCCAGTCAGATACATACACGGGCGGGCTGAAAACAGCTTGGACAGAAAAAGTGAATTATAAGCAAGAGACACGACTTAGCCGCTCTTATTGAACTGTCGCTGCTCGCGAATTGAAAATGAGACCATAGCATTCGCGCATGCTAATTCTTAAAAATGTACTATACCTTCCCTTCTTGGCGGTACTTTCCTGCCGCCTTCACAGCATTCTCGGTCTTGTGCTCGTGGAAATCAGTATATTTCATGACTGTAATAATAATTGGGAATCCTAGTTAGTTTGTTTCCACACCTAGACGCCCACATGGAATTAAAAAAGTGAATACATCAAGTGGAATCAGTCGCGAAGCAAGCGAGAAGTCGGGAAATATTAGAGTATATGCTGCAAGCAAATTAGTACCAACGCAAGAAATACTCACCATCTGCCATAATGAAGCCCTTCTCAAAATCAGTGTGAATCTTTCCAGCGGCTCTAGGTGCTGTATGGAGAAGAGGATAGGGGAAGTTTCAATGGCACACACCAATGAAATCTCAAGTGGGAAATGCTATGACGACAAACACAACGACAAACACTTCAGTGCTATTTCATTTGAATCAACGTTTGAGAAAGTGAGTTACAGCAGTCATTGTCACTAAATGAATTTAGATAGCAACTGTTTGATCTATATAAAAAAATCCCGACTATAGTGGAGTGCGCATTGAATAAATGAAACAAATTGTTATGAGCATAAGTTACCTTTGTCGCCCTCCCGGATTGTCCAGGCACGAACCTCATCACTGTGAATGTGGGAGCGGTAGGAAACTGTGTCAAGATCTAGGCCAACTAACTTTACTATCTACTCACTATAAATATAACTGATGAAGTATTCGAGAAATACTAAAAACGACAAGTTTGTACTTCTTGCCTAGTCTGACTAGGCTGCTTTGGTAATACATATCAATCCCACATATGACTTACGGTCCAGCGGTGAAGAAGTACTGTAGACGCAGACTCTTGTAGGCGGCCTTGATAATCTTGGGCAGCGCACTCTGCACTTTATTCTCTTCCAAGTATTTGGCACGATCCTCGGGCTCCATCTCGCGTATCTATGACAGAGCGGGAGCGGATACGAATCAGCAATACTTCACAATAGTATATCTGAGACATGTGAAGCCCATGGAACAGTATACTACAATAATATTAATATTAATAATAAATCATTCTACAAGACACTAGGTTTACCGACGCAAGAGCAAAGCCAATTTCAGCACGCTCTAACGGAATACCTAACATAGGCCACATGTGCTGTACTGAATACTAGCTGTTGGAGTTTCGAGTAGAGTATTGCCATAACTACGGATCATATTTTACCAGATGGCTCCAATTACAAAAGTTGAGTCACTTCTTAAACAATTCTATTATTTCAAGTCATTTGGAGAGATACAATCCCTGATTAAATTTTTAAGTATCACAGGATAATTTTGCACGGCACACTACTGATCTTATACTCGTACGAGACACACCTGCTCCTCAAACTCTCCACTCCAAGGAATCATCATGTCTCCGGGGTTACGAGCGTCAATCCACGTCTTGACCTTCATCATGTATTTATTCTTCTTGCGAATATAATCTTTGCCGCTGAGATTTACTAAGTAGATCGCGGGCTTCGACGACAGAAAAAGGTAGTCGTTCGCGGCTTCGATCTGCAAGTTGTATTTTGAAACATCCAAGTCATTATCAAGTCAAGGACTGATGATCGCACTCCATCACTTGTAAAAGATAAGAAGTGCTGTACTTGGTCAGGTCATAACTCTCAATGCGAGCCAGTCGATACAACACGGATCTTACTTAAAAAAATAAAGTTCTCCTGTTTATGGAAATATGTGTTCGAAGTTTTCGTGCTAGCCGAATAACCGGTAGATAGAAGTTAGTTATGAGAGACGGCGTTGCCCATCCCGTGTGCTTAATCACACGAAACCCGATCGCTTTCCCAGATCTCAAGAAATCGAGAAAAAAATGGAACGCATACAGTATAAGGTCGCACAAATAGATATAAACAAGCTTACCTCCTTAGCAGTCCAAGTACCCGAACGCATGTCCTTCTTCTCCACCTCCAGGTGCTGGTAGAACTTCTCGGCATACTCCAATGCAAGTGCTGCAGCCTTATCCTTACCACTACGCGCGACTCGCTTCCTAAGCTCAGGTAAGGTCTTCATGAGCTTCTCGACATCCTTAATACGCAGCTCCTCGTGGATGGTCTCCAAATCACGCACGGGGTCTACCGTGCCGTCGACGTGGGTCACATCCGCATCGTCGAAGCACCGCACCATGTGGATGATACCATCAACAGCGTTGATGTGCGACAAGAAAGCGTTACCCAAACCCTCACCAGTGGAGGCACCCTTCACTAGTCCAGCAATGTCCCACACCTTCAGGATGGCGGGGATGACTGACTTGGGCGTGTGTGTCTCCACAAGAAAGTCGAATCGCTCGTCAGGAACGGGCACTTGCGACTCATTGGGGTCGATGGTGGCCTATAGTAATAATTAAAACGAACGACCGTGAGATAGAAGCGGTTAAACCGTTCTCGAATATATCGTGAATTCTATATTTAGCAGGATGGTATCTTTGCTTGCAGAGAGAAGGACCCACAAGCACCCATCAATATCACATACGACGACCTTTGATGTGTACCGAATTGCATAACAGTCCAGGTGACTTTAATTCTGACACAGAAATGAAGGATACTTCTGCGACTGATTACATCATTACATAAACGTATACTTCAATCGATGGGCGTAATTGCTACACGCGTTGGTTGAAGTCAGAGATATGAATTTACACTCTGTTCACACACAAGGCATCCAATATGAATCTTAATCGCTTAGAAGTCATTTGAGTCTGCCACAGTCACACATTCTGCAAAACTTAAATCATACTGTACAAAGATCAAATAGTCGGAATAAATTTTGTAATACAATCGACGTAAAGCCTGTGTTACTATATATAGATATAGATATAGATATATAGATATATATATATGTATGTCTAGTTTAAATAACAAACGGCAAAGAAAAGCGATGCATTGACTTACGAAAGGATAGTTGGCAGCCAAGGCCTCCATGTTACACAGCACATTGAAGAAGGTCGATTTCCTGCAAGCGTGGGAGAGACGAGAAGAAACACAAGAGATTAGTAACACCTAAAGTAATTTGTATCTTCACAGTACGGAGAAATGCAGAACACAAACAATGGTCACAATCAAGCAGCAAGGAATAGGGGACGAAGCAGCCAAGGCTTGAGTAGTGGTGAGTTTCAGAAAAGTGCACGTGGACGATTGAACTTGAAACTAGAAAGCACGGGTAGTAGACAAGGAACAAATATACGCAATATGGGTGCGTTTGCTTTGCAGCGCGCATAACAATTAGGGCAAGCACAAAAACGATTGAACAATCAGCCACCTACATGCCTAACAACCAATGGCATAAATATATATATAGGTACATGCCCATACATGCAATTATAAAAGAAAGACTCCATGCTTTCTACACATAAGAACACACACCACACACACACATATATATCAAATGATTTGTATACACACACACATATATATATATATACTTCCGACACAGATAGATATAGATATACACAGATATATATATATATACAAACACACGCAGACACACATTTATATATATACATACATATTCATATATATATATATATATATACTTATATACACACATATGTACATACATACATACTTATATACATACATACATACATACATACATACATATATATATATATATATATATACATACATACATACATACTTATATACACACATAAATATATATATATATATATATATGTATATTATATATATATATATTCAACAATATTTAATGCAGGTTGCTCTCAGGTGGCATACATTTATATACTTACGCACCGCGAATATAGTACTCTATATCATGTTCCGTTGCACGAGTGAATCTATCCAAAAATAATCCAAATCGATGCCGCCTACGATATACGTTCCCTTCGCACAAGAGTACTTTTAAATTTGCACAAGCTAATTGACTCGCAATACACGAGTATATAAACGCAATGATTTGTCCGATCAATTTGTGAGCTAATGCATAAGTAGTGGATATGCAATGAGATGATAAAAAGCTGATATGTCAACGACGGATAGCAACCTGCTTTAAACGGTGTAAGTTCAAACATATACCAATACGCCCACAAACTGCTTCGAGTCTCACAACATACACTTACAACACACTGCGATCCCATTCGAACTCCCTATGTAATGTGTGCAGAAATCGTGTCGAGTTACATACTCGCAAGTTGTATGTGCGTGTACACACTAACAAACAGGAAAGCGGTAGTTACACTTCAAACCCCACTCTTGACAAATACAACTACAAGCAGTACATACCCTACATTGGGCACACCGACAATTCCACAGGATAAACTGGTTCCGAATCGACCAAGCAAAGGCTTGGGCTCCTCTGTAACTTGCTTTTTCTTGGGTGGCATAGTGATTACTGCTATATCTAATTCAAAACTAATAGCTGAGCACTTGGTAAGTTGGTATCACGTTACAAATAGGAGGGGATAGTAAAGGTTGCTGATCTTCGAATTCAATTCATCTCCCCTGATTGTTTTTTGATTTCGAACCCTTCCTCGTGGAGCGAGCCAGAGCAGAGGACAGAATCGGCCCCTCGTGGTTTCTGGGGGGCCCCAAAATAAATTCCGGGCTCAAAACAAGAGCAATAAAAAAATCAATCGGCGAATCGTGCATCATACCACAGCCTTCATACAAACTCTGCAGAAGGATAGGTGGTGGACGTTGAATATCCACCATACCGTACTATGCCTGGTACCATATATTTAATAGTATGGAAATATATATCAAATGAAGGCAACATGAGAGGAACTTAGCCGTATTCGATTAATTCGATGCATAAAGCATACGTCAATCTGTTTTCACAGTTGTCAGTACATTTGTTGGGTCAAATACAATTGACCACTTCCACTGAATTTGAGGATATTCACTGCCTCATTTTGCATTAGTCAAGTATAGTAACTCCTCCATGCTAGGTGATTGTTTCTTTATTGTTGTTTCCAGACTTTCTAATCCCGGCGAAGGTATTTTCACAAATGATGACTACGAAATGACAAGCACATATGTGGATTCAAACGACAAATACTCACGGTTCTATCTTCACTTCTTTAACTTCATGTATAAAATTCATTGAGGCAAAGATGATAAGAGTTCGGCCAAACTAAGTACAGTGTGATCCACATCAGCATGCAGAATCGAATACGGTTCTGTATAGGCTCCACATCAGCACATCACACGCCACTAAAATTCATATACAATTCTCACTAGGCATGGAACGTAGATGGATTAAATAATTGTTCCCATTCAGCAACAACATTTTTAGGATGGAACTCACGATCTCCTGTACGCTCTTATTGCGCGCTGAAAAAATACCTCAGCTCTGCAGCAAGAACTTAACTATACTGTTTTGTTTCCAACAACAGGATCTCGTGTGCGATGGGACCGTTTGTAATGTACCACTCACCCACTTTCCGTCGGCCTCACACGCAACCCTGTCGTATTACTTTCACGGAGACGCTAGTGATACAAGTATCATCTACTTCTCGCGCATTTCAGCTGAGTACGAGATTGCATACATCATCTACCGTCACCATTACAACTGACCAGATACGAAGATATCAAGGACGGCAAACCCATTTCTTTTCGATGCATAGGTTCTGCGCGCATATTTAAGCCAAATGTGTACCCATCCTCATTTACAATATTTAGAGTTTCCAAAATTGATATATTTAAAAAAAACCCCACGCGTACTGAGCCGAATGATGCACAGACCGCATAACCATTTGATTCACTAAAACTAAACGTCCCACGGTATTATCATTAAATGTAAACTAAAACTACCCATCTTCTCGTCATACGACTGTCATTTCCGGCGATCTCCACCATAACAAGCAAGATACTCGCCACAGGCGCAGAATCCAGAAAACAAACTCCATTACAACACGAAGGCACCGACTGAAAGTGCAGACACGCAAGGAATTTAAAGTAAACTCCAGCAACACGTATTTCGGAATCGAACTGCAAGCAATATGAAGAGTGACTGCAAGAAATAAGCCTCCGAATAGACATACAAAATCTGAAGACTGGACGGTGCATGACATTATCTGATAACACATCTATCAGTGCTATGAAATACAATGCCTCGCCCACAAAATAGGGTTCAGTTAAGAACCGGCAGATCACAAACATAGGTCATCTCCCGATACCTTTGAAAATACGTAACGATCACGTGCATTGTAATCTCATGACCTAGAAAAGCAACTACAATAGAGGCTAGTGGTACCTTGTTGCATGCAAAAAGTATATATCACGCCCACACAATTGCAAGAAACAAACACACGCCTTACTAGTAAAATATGATAAGATGCACAATATTGTCGTTTATAGCCCTCAATACGACAGCATCCCGCACCACATACGTTGATTTACAAGGAATTTTTTATGCCACAATTCGAGTGGAAACCCAAATATATAGCCTCTCTTATCCTAGAAACGACAAAATATCACCATTCTAAGATGCATTCTTAGTGACACAAAATGCAACCGTAAACAGATAGGACTAGAGTGACAAATCCGCTTCCCGGATAGTAAATCGAAGTGACAGTACAATTCGAGTTTCTCTAAGCCTTTACACCGTTTATATTTTATCATTTGCATTATTAATTCATCGAAATGCACATACAATAAACGAACTTGTGGTAAATGAAACCTTTAGAAGGCAATGGCCATTCCCTTGCGCTTCTTGTCTCCACCCAGCTCGAAGTGCTTGCATCGCTTAATCACGAGCTGCTTCTTTGCTCTGCAGTGAGTGCATTCCAGACGAAGACAGATCTTCTTGGTGGTCTTAGCCTGTACGTACAAACAAGGTAGGGTATATCCATATACGCGCAATGAGAAATATATATATATATCAAGACTGACATCAGGATAGTATGATAACCGACAACAATCAGGTAGTAGGAATCAACACCAACCATCACGTAAACAATTCTTCTCTATTTCAGTTTTGAGCGATCACTAAAACGATCACCACAGTAATTGTGTAAACAATGCAATATTCTCGCTTATTTTAAAGTAGCACGAATTAAACACATAGAATATGAAGCTAGTATAGTCGCGATACATACGCAGCCATCAAAGTCTAAATCCGCAATCTTACAGATTAATGACAGGCTAAGGATCTAATCAATACTTACGACATACATACCTTCTTTCTGAAAACGGGCTTGGTCTGACCTCCGAAACCGGACTGCTTTCGGTCGTAACGACGCTTACCCTGAGCGTAAAGGGACGCCTTACCGGCCTTGTACTGAGTGACCTTGTGCAGACGGTGGCGTTTGCACTCTTTGCCCTTGCAGAAGGTCTTGCGCGATTTAGGAATGTTCACCTATAAATATAGTGAGAAATATGGTGCCGAGATCGTGTGAATGTGATGGTGACGACATATGTTTAGTCTAAGACCGAGTCAGTCTATTATAAAAGCATATGGAGTTGCGTTCCAAGATGGCATTGTGTTTGGTTAATGCTGTGTGATTTGCTTTCGATCTCCCAATTTCACAATTGGCTGACGGCAACTTATGTGTCTGGTTTGCCGTTTCTGAAATCGCCGAACAGGACTCGATTCACGGAACAATGGCTGAGATGGCTGTCGCACATATAAGAATATGAACGAGAAAGTGATCCACTTTATGAACACATACATATTCGGCGTTCCTAACTTCTAAAAGGAATAAACCTGGTGTATATTGTATTTTCCGTCGAAATGTTGTGCTGGATGCTGTGACATAAGTCTTCAAATGTGCTCCATCGTCAGAGTCTATTTGCTGAGAAATATGTACATGCATTTATGATCCTATGTCTGTTTCATGTTAGATACACTAACTATCATTTGGCTGACGAGGGTATATGCACGCGTGAAGTCGCTATTCCAGCACAAATTATCTTACCATCTTGTCGATGCTAATGGCTGGAAAAGGCTCGTCAGTGTGTTTGCACTTGAAGTTTTGTAATCCTTTACAAACGTGACGACCAAAAAATCGAGTACCTACAGTGGGCCAAAGTCAAAACCACATGTGCATAATTTTTTATTCTAAAATTTTATACAAAATTCTTGGAAGGCCATTCCCATTTCCGTGTACCATATATCTGTAGAAGGTTTTAAAAAGAAATATTGAATCGAGGTTTTTCGCCTACTCGAAAAACCCCCATAGAGTTTTGGCGGGCAAAAGTTCACTCTGTATGTATTTAAAATATATATATT